CCTAAGTAAGAGTTGTAGAGAAGTCCGGACTATAGTGTGTCTGTAAGTAAGAGTAGGGAAGTCTGGACTAGCGTGTCTGTAAGTAAGATTAGGGAAGTCCGGGCTAGCGTGTCTGTAAGTAAAAGTAGGGAAGTCCGGACTAGCGTGTCTGTAAGTAAGAGTAGGGAAGTCCGGACTAGTGTGTCTGTAAGTAATATTAGGAAGTCCGGACTAGTGTTTCTGTAAGTAAGAGTAGGAAGTCTGGACTAGTATGTCTGTAAGTAAGAGTAGGGAAGTCCGGACTAGTGTGTCTGTAAGTAAGAGTAGGGAAGTCTGGACTAGCGTGTCTGTAAGTAAGATTAGGAAGTCCGGACTAGCGTGTCTGTAAGTAAGATTAGGAGGTCCGGACTAGTGTGTCTGTAAGTAAGATTAGGGAAGTCCAGACTAGCGTGTCTGTAAGTAAGAGTAGGGAAGTCTGAACTAGCGTGTCTGTAAGTAAGAGTAGGGAAGTCTGGATTAGTGTGTCTGTAAGTAAGAGTAGGGAAGTCCGGACTAGTGTTTCTGTAAGTAAGAGTAGGGGAGTCCGGACTAGCGTGTCTGTAAGTAAGAGTAGGGGAGTCCGGACTAGCGTGTCTGTAAGTAAGAATAGGGGAGTCCGGACTAGCGTGTCTGTAAGTAAGATTAGGAAGTCCGGACTAGCGTGTCTGTAAGTAAGAGTAGGGAAGTCTGGACTAGTGTTTCTGTAAGTAAGAGTAGGAAGTCCGGACTAGTGTGTCTGTAAGTAAGAGTAGGGGAGTCCGGACTAGTGTGTCTGTAAGTAAGAGTAGGGGAGTCTGGACTAGCGTGTCTGTAAGTAAGAGTAGGGAAGTCCGGACTAGCGTGTTTGTAAGTAAGATTAGGGAAGTCCGGACTAGCGTGTCTGTAAATAAGAGTAGGGGAGTCCGGACTAGCGTGTCTGTAAGTAAGAGTAGGGGAGTCCGGACTAGCGTGTCTGTAATTAAGAGTAGGGGAGTCCGGACTAGCGTGTCTGTAAGTAAGATTAGGAAGTCTGGACTAGCGTGTCTGTAAGTAAGAGTAGGGAAGTCTGGACTAGCGTGTCTGTAAGTAAGAGTAGGGAAGTCCGGACTAGTGTTTCTGTACGTAAGAGTAGGGAAGTCTGAACTAGAGTGTCTGTAAGTACGATTAGGGAAGTCCGGACTAGTGTGTCTGTAAGTACAAGGAGTCCAGATTTGCGTTAGGGGAGGTGAGTGTCATCTTATATAAATTGCATTATGACACATATATTATCATCTATCTTACACACATTTTTTTGCAAAAAATAAAGGAGGCATATTGATACATAATATTAAAGAATGGCACCTGTAATTTCGTTATTGTGGTTTCTAAAAACGTATAAAAAGTGTGTTTGATGGTTTAAGTCGTGGTGCAAAGATAAATGGAATGTCTGAATCAGTAAACCAGGCCATGTATATGGATCAAATAAAATATAAAGCTGAAAATCTTAAAACACAAAATTCTTCTCAATTAAGAAGTAAGTTCTCCCTCATCAACTCAATAGACCTATTCCAATAAATAAATAAAATCATGATTTTTAAAGATACAATAAAACATACATGTAAGTATAATCGGACAAAAATATTTATACCCTAGACCAGGGGTTTTCAACCTGAGGATATTTACCTCCAAAGGAATAATTTTGACATTTCTGGGGGTATTGAGGTGCTGTGTAATCTAGCATGAAATGTTTGGACAATAATAACTTAATTTGTTGTGTTCAGTCAGGCTGTATTCTCTCATATGAAAAAATAAAAATCACGAAATAGTATGACTTATGTGAAAGAGGGGTAATGCAATCGATCAACGATCCTGAAAGAGTTAATAGACGGAAAAAGGTTGAAAACCCCTGCTCTAGACACAAGGATTGATTCAAAACATTTATCTTGCTTGTGTAGTCAGTCTTCTAGTAAAACCAAAGGTTTCAAATACTGATTACTTTACCCAAAACAATTAGACTGATGTTTTGGAAAAATTCCTCACGTGCAAAAATATCTTTGACATACTTAGAATAATACTTGTTAACAAATCAATAAAGAAATAACAGACAACTTAACAAATGACAGCACTAATAAAATACACACTTGGCCAACCGCCACCTTGATTTCCAACTGGTTCATTTTTTAACAAATTATAAATGCGTAGACAAACAACCAAAAAGTTGGAATGTATATAAAATCTTTAAACAATTTCTGGAATAACATAAATTAGCCACCGAAACAATTAATAAATACACAATAAAACAATAACCATTGTGGTTTAGCATTATTTTTAAAACAAGAGTTACTTCCCTTATACCAATTTATTCAAGCTCGTCCGAAAATGGACAAGGAACAGATAGACAAGACAGTTGTGTTGGAGATTTGATCTTGGTATCAAGCTAATAAAAAATTATTCTCTGGTCTCGTCTGTCCAGATTAATTTCTATTCAAAAAGCTTCAAGAGTTTTCGCACTTCAGTTTCCCAGTAGCGCATTTTACTTGGATCTATTTAAACTTTTCTTGGATATTTGAATTCGATAACTACAAATACCACACTACATTGACTGTAGTGGTGGATCAATTCATACACACAGTGGGCTTCAGAGAAACTTGCTGACATTGACCAGCGGCGGTGATCCTCTCTTAAGTTCTTTTGCAAGTACATTAAACCGCCAGTAAATTGTTTTATGAAGCTTTTAAGACTTGATTTTTGGAATGAAATTTTGGTTTTGTAAAATGGAAACTTTCAATCTGTACCACAGGTATCTGAAGTTTCATTAATGAATTATTACTAAGAAATGCCGATATATCGAGATAATCGCTTAAATCTTATACCTGTGGTGTTGAGGGATTATCTCGATATTGTAATTATTATTGAAGCTTCAGATACCCGCCCTGTGACTTAAATTCCATCATCTACGATAACCTTATCTACTGGATTATCTTGTAAACACTTCTCAATTATCTGTAATATAATCGTCACACGTCTGTCCATGGCTATGAGATGTGGTCTTAGTAATATAGGAGCTATACTCTCACTGTCTGCGAAATGTCTCCAAACTTCACTGAGTTTTTGTGGTCCAATATAAAATTTAACTAATTTCATATACGTGGAATATCGTATTAAACAACACTGTAACACTGGAGCTATGATAGTCATCTCGTCTTTATTCGGTTTACCAAACCTAGAATTACAAACGTTAATACGATACAGTAGGGAGCTGTTGAGTGGTTGAATTAAAGGGATATAGCCGTCTAAATATAGTTCAGTTCATAAGCTTATAGAACTTTATTTTAGCTACCCATAGCGCTTTTCAGAATGAGAATCTGATGATAAGTTGATTTTAAATCACATGAATTCGAATAGCAGTGATTTGAATAAGCGATGGCAGTTACATGCGATAGGCAAACCCTCTTCTAAATTAAAAATTTCAAATTAGTTCGTTGTCTGTAGAAAATTTTTTATTCCATTGTAGACAGAGCATTTGCATTCACTCAGAAATATCACTCTGCTGGTATAAATGATATTAGGCATTTTATATCGGAAAAGTGAATACGATTGTATACCTAAAAAGTCAACATGTTACAGTATAATCACAATACATGTCAGAGTTGAATTTCAAAGGTTACCAGGTTAAGCACAGTTACAATTACAATTTGAACAAACAGAATATGGACAGAGAAATAAGATTTTTTTAAACATATTGTTTATATCTAACCCAATCTGAAGCAACAAGTATTATCTTCCAAAAGCTGCCTCTGCGACAACAGAAATCCAGCAGGCACTTGTTCATCAGTTAATAATTAGGCGATATCAAATATTTCGCTTTAATAAAAGTGAACAATGTTGTGCGACAACATCGTTGTTGCGAGAGTGTGTGAAGGCTATTTGTGATAATAAATTTACTTACGCTCTGCCATGATCCATGTGTATAGGAAAGGTGTCGTTACCAAATTCTATAAAAGTTTCATAATGATGTCTATCCATATTACCTGAAGAAACAAAATCACAAATTATTATGAATAAAAAATAAACAATTCTTGTTAAAAAATAAAGTAAACACTAATCTTGGTTCCCCTCGAGCGAAAATCAGTTATGGTGTTTCAGTAAAGGGTATTTTAAAGAGGTTGGTTCTAACTTTCTGGTGAGAAACATAGAGAGAAACTTTGAATAGCTTCTATTTACGCTTTTCTAATGTATTGTCCGATGTCTCAAACGTCTCAAAAATATAATTTTTATTTTTTATCTTATGTGTTTCATAGTCATTATTTCTCTCTTTAGACAAATTTTAGAGTAAGATAGTCTGGGAAGGGTAAAATACTGTGACAGACTGGGAAATACAGATACAGAGCCCCACAGAGATATTTTTCAAGATAAATTTTAATAATTTTGAATGAAAACAATTAAAACCTAGGATTATATAAATAATATTATTACTATGACAAACACTTTATATCATAGTCGCACTCAATGACCCACTTTGATGTTAAAATTAAAACTGAAAGTCACCTGTAAGTCGACATGAAAATTTATAATTACTATTTTCTTAGTCCAACGTGACAAACTGGACTACTTCTGGATTAAAATATTTATCTATTATGTTTAGTTTCTGATAAATTTTCACACAAACATCCAAATGAAATGAATGTACCTTACTTTTACGACCTACTTTTACGGACCCCCATCCCCCAGAAAAAGGGGTCCCAGAATACAGAAGAGCAACAAATTTCCAGGGGAGGGGCCCCAACCCACGCGCCCCAGCTCATCTAGTTGAGCCACTGGCCGAGAACCCTTGACCTTCAGGTTAGAGAGCAAGCGTCTAACTGACTGAGCCAGCTCGGCTCACACACACACACACACACACACACCCTAACATCAAGACAAACGAGTACGATTGTGGACTCTCTGATACGATGCCTAGATGACACATCAAATGTCGTGTGTTCTAGAAAGGTCAGCATATCCTGTGTATCCCGCACCACAATCGTTAAATTTCTTTTAAAAATACATATTTAAATCAAAATCGCCAAATAATCTGCCGTAATATATATTTACTCTATATGTAAATGTCTACACTCTAAAACTAATACATATTTAAACTTCCTAAAGTGTGTCTTAATATAGTACAATATACAACACATGGGTTTAAGGTCTTTTTGATCGTGTATCAGTAGATTTATAAATGTTAAAATATATTAAACTTAATTTGAAACATTACGTAGCTGTAAAATATTTGAAAACTTATGGAGTAATACTTGATGGTTTATACAATATCAGTAAGATAAAATTTATTAGGATTATTAAGTGATAGAGCACAACTTCAATAAATATCTCCTTTACGAATGAAAAATTGACGTCAGATTTGATAACAATGAGATTTCAAACGAACATATATGACCGTATTAATCTAATCAATTGTACAATTTGTTGTGAAAGAATTTCAAAATATGAGAATCAAGCAAAACATGATCTGCTGTTATGCGAATATTTCTATTTAATCGTATAACAAGAATTTCATGGTTTAGCAGCTAAGCATTGCCGTTATAAAACCTACAATGATGTGGTGAAAAACGTGAATTTTAAATTAAATTCAGTAAAGGCTAAAATTTCACAGTCTTGTCAAATATGCCTAATACATAATACATAACAGGCTAAAGTTATTTAATATTATTCAGTTCGTCGGTTTTCATCCAAACATATAATTTATTGCAGAGAAAAGCACAAAAATGTCAAATTAAATGAATAAAAATTCACTTTTTGTAACATAGATTTTAAGTAATTTCACCAAGTTTTAAAATAACGAGATATTTCTTCAGTATTAACTACAGATTTGGTTAATTATAGGACGGTCGTAGGAAATAAATTGAAATTGGAAGAAAGATCTGTTTAGTTACATGTTATTAACCGAGTTCATTTTCAATCCGCTTATTTTGTTATATATTTTCAAACAACATAAATCTCAAATTCAAGATTTAGCTATTTTTTTTAGTCTTTTTTCAAGAAATCTTACAAAAGATACGAGATTAATGTACATTAAGTCATAATCGGATTAAGCTACAGATTTAGTTTTAGTTTTGTGTTCTTTTTTCTTTTCTCTTGAACACAGTTAAATCTGGGCTAACAGTACAAATCAATGTTTAACCTAGTAGATCTTTAAAACATAGACTTTGATTGGTTGAACAATTTTATGACTTAGAACACTCTTTGCATAATAATGTCGTCAGATCACGGATTACGGAAGTGGAAACCACATAAATCCAACGCGAAGCTTCTAAATATCAAATATTTTTCATGAAATCATTGCAGATTGCAAACAGGGTTACGGACGCAAATCACAGTAGGCATACCCCCACTTCTTCCCCCCCAATAAAAAGAACTTACTTACCTATTATAAAATCAAAAACAGTCAAATCCATAAGATCCAATAAACGCCTGCCTTTATTATAGGGTGGGCGGTTTCTCACTTTTTCACACAAATCGTCATACACTTCCCAATATGCTTTCCTATGTTTGCTATAAGATCTTTTCCAGGGATTTCTCCAAGTTTTCCTATCGGCCACCTCCTCAGGGGGAAGGAAAGTCGCTAAAGAAACTTCTAAAGTATCTGGTTGTCCACAAATAGCATGTGATGTATCACAGTAATAAGAACACGAACCGTGGAAACATAGGTTCCCAGCTGAAATAAATAGATAGATTTAATGAATAATGAAATTAAACCAATACATAAGTTCTAACCTTTAATCAAAATCAGTCGGACATAGCTTGCAAAATAAATAAATAAACAGTTTTGAATTCTCGTGGTAAGGCATTTATTGAAAGAAATTGTATCAAAACTTTGGTTTATACTGAATATATTGGCGTTGTGGCCAAGTGATTTGTCAGAATGAGATGAGCTCTAGTCTAATAGAATATGAGTCATTGATGTTGAGAAATTGTAAATAAAGTAATATTTATCGTACTGAACTATGAAGTCGAGGTATAAGTACCCCTCTTTGTTGAAAATATTTATGTCAAATTGCGAGAGATGTTTCCTTTAGAAAAGTTTAATGCTATTAAGTGTTGTTATTTCTGCTCAAGCGACACGGCAATTATTTCTTAAACTTTTATCATGCGGAATATGACAGAATCAAATAATAATAATTGACATATCTTTTGAATTTGCACACAATATTCGATAAATTAATATTGATTATTACATGGGAGTCGTAAATAAATAAACATATAACAGAATTCTTCGTATATTATTAAATAATACATTTATGATATTGTGTTGTTACAGGTATTGTACATTGATTTTTCAAACTTTCATATGTGTCTCAAAATCAGAATGTCTAATGATTGTGTCTCAAAATAAGAATGCCATGTTATCTTAGTTTGTGTCTGTATTTATGAGAATGTCTTGCCAGACGAGTATGTATCTCTATATAATTAGAATGTCATCTTAGACGAGTATGTGTCTCTATATATTAGAATGCCATGTTGGACGAGTATGTGTCTCTATAATATGAGACTTCATGCTAGACGAGTATGTTTCTCTATATGAGAATGTCATATATGTTTCTCCTTATGAGAATGCCATGTCAGAAAAGTATATCTCTATATATGAGAATGTCATGTTAGACGAGTTTGTGTCTCTGTTTATGAAAATGTCATGTCAGACAAGCACGTGTCTATATATATGAGAATGTATGTCAGACGAGTATGTGTCTATATATGAGAATGTCAAGTCAGACGAATATGTTTCTCCTTATGAGAATGTCATGTTAGACGAGTATGTGTCTCTATATATGAGAATGTCATGTTAGACGAGTATATGTCTCTATATATGAGAATGTCATGCCAGACGAGTATGTTTCTCTGTGTGAGAATGTCACGTCAGACGAGTATGGCTCTATATGAGAATGCCATGCCTCGAGTATGTATCTCGATATTTGAGAATGTCATGTCAGACGAGTATGTTTACAATTACAATGTTTCTCTATGAGAATGCCATCTCTATATATGAGAATGACATGTCAGACGAGTATGTGCCTCGTTAAGAGAATTTCATGTCAGACGAGTATGTGTATCTCTGTATGAGAATGCCATGCATGTCAGTCGGGTATGTGTCTCTTTATGAGAATGTCATGTCAATTAAGTACATCTTTCTTTATGAGAATGTCATGTCAAACGAATGTGCGTCTTTTCAGACAAGGTTCAATTGCCTTATCATGTCAAGGTATAAGATGAACTTCGTAATACCTTGACATTGGTGCCATGATGTAGCCTAAGAATGTCAGTCAATCCATGACAAAGGTTTAAGATAATAGATTCTCCTGATGCTCTATAGATCTATTCTAAAGCTCTGGCGCAAAAAGAGCAAGTAACAAAAGAAAAACGTTTAATAGTTCAAAATTGTAGACATCTATACGAAGGCATCCTGGATACATCGATTTTCTCCTATGTTAAGATAAAATTTTCCAAAAATACGACTTAAAAAACTTGACATATATATTCGACATAAGAAATCGAAAATTTTTTAGAAGGATTCAAACATTATAAAAGGTTAGATGAAAATATAGGTCCTGTCCGAGTGTTCACCTATACACCTATGTCTATTATTGCACACAACCTGTATTGTTCATTTTTATACAGCTAGATGTTATTCTTGTACTCAGTAACCTTTTCAGTTCATTGTTCCGCTGTTTAGAACGGGCTTCTTTTACGGAAACTTCATTCATTATGTCTCAGAAATCTAGGTAATTTCCCGTCTGCATTCTTTTAGTACATAATGCATTCAATACTACGTCTGCTTTCAACCAGTTATCAGAAAGTTCAAAACTTCTGATCTTCGTATTTACATAATTTCCAGACATCTGAGACCCGTTGTCGGAAATTATGTTGAGTTTATCGTGCCTATTGTCTAAAAGAGCACCGATTTTAAGCTGTCAGTTTTCCGGATAAAGGCCTAATAGTGATAGAAACCAACCAGAATCTGTGTGACGCTATTTGTACAATTATCTTAAAGCAATAATGTTTATTATGACCCCATTGGTTAATAAAAAATATATAACACCTTTTACATAAGAAACTTTATCCGTTCTGAGAACAATTATCAAAACGGATGAATTTTGTGTAATGTAAACGGTCCAGCGTTCCGAGACCACGTTACAATGGGCCAGAATTGGTAACCGTTCCGAGAACGCGTTACTGCGCATGCCTCACAGGCGACCTTTACCTTTTCTCGTGGAATTTCGTCATTATTCAGGGAAATTGTTCATTACATCCACATTACATTAGGGTTAATTTTAACTTCTTCAAGAAGAGTTCCGCAGATAACCGTGCCAAGAATGCAATTCATTTACACTACAACTAAAGAGCCGTTCTCAGACCACTTAAGTTTACTATAATGTAGGCCTAAATCGGCACATTTTACCGAAAAGGAACGCTTTATAGCGGCCTGGTGTAAAAGGGACTTAAGACACACCAATAAGAGTTCTTCAAAAACCATTTTGGTAATAATCTAAAAACTTGCAATGTTTTTAACAACAAGTTCAATATTGGTTATATTATTACGTAAAAGCAATACGATCACCGACCGATTTTTCAAAATTTTAACGTTTTATATTCGACAACGGGACGCAGTAGATTTTACTCTAAAGTATATCCGATTCGAGAAAAAGTGGCATTTAATTGTGTAAAGAAAGTACTGTCTCATTTTTTATTTTATACGCAAGCTTCCTATTAAAATACATCTGTCTAGAGTTTGAATAATAGTTTTTCGCTCTTTATACGTTTTTGCTCTTATTGGACTTCTGAAATAGTGCATCAGCATGCAGGGTTCAATTAGGGAAAAGGCGTCTCAGGGTCAATCTCAAACTGTCAGAGAAGCCTTGTACAAGAGCGTATCTAGAAATGACTGAAAGGAGGTGGGTAAGGGGGGGGGGGGGGGGGGGGGGGGCC